TGGTTCAAACCCACTAGTAGCTCCTCGAAAATCCTAAACAAGGTCAAGATGCGTTGGAAGCAACTCGACAGCTACAAAAACAGCAGGGAGGTTATGTCTGACTTCCTCTGACTTGACAAGGGGAAAGGAGAACCAAACTCAAAGTCAGCCCAAGGCCAATTCCTGAGGCAGAGGTCAGATATTGCTTCTACCCTGTGACCTCCTTTATCCTATTCTGACACCAATCATCACTCCCCTGGCACTCTACTTCACATCTGGGTTTGATAATCCACGGCACAGACAATACTCACAATTATGAGGATTGTTAGGGAAGTGAACAGGGTACCATTCAGGATTAGAAGCAACTCAGGATGCAGCTGTTCTCCAGGCAGGAACGCCTCGTCTTTTGTACTGCAGGTACGCCTCGCTCTTGTCTTTGGTCCCTCCACTTCTGTCCTGCTATGGCAAATGTTACAAGGCTGCTCTGGCCAGTCTGTAAATGCCCAAAGGGCACGTTCAGCATGCCAGCCTCCTGCCTGTCGGCTCTCAGCTGTACTCGTCCAGCCCACTGCTGCTCTGTCTTTCCATACGGCTGCTTCTGCTGTTATCACTTTGCTAGGTAGGGATCTCACGTTCTGCTCATGCCCTTTATTCTTGATGGTCCTGGGATTTCCGGTTCCTGTTTCTGAAATAGCTCTATTTAAACTAAGCAAGACTGCAAAACTAATCAATCTCACCGGTAGAGTCCTGGACTCTTATTTGCATGGTCCCTCCCAACCATTTGGTGGGAGTTAAGAAGACTTTCGATAGAAAATCCAAGTCAAGTACATTCATGGTACCACAGTGGCACTTAACAGCAACAACATTCTTAGGGCAATGACTGACACTTTTTAGCTGTTTAATTTTCACTGTATTAATTTACTTATTTAACCACTTTATTGAGTGGTATAAATCACATACAATAAAATAGGCTGACACATTTTAAAAGATGAATTTAACTTTATTTTGTCCCCCAAATCTGGAATCATCATGTATTAACAAAAACTTAGCCTACAATTAAATAAGCAAAACTTTTGTTTAAGCAAACAAATTCAGGAAGAAATGACATGAACACTTCTAATGGCAACATACGAATCTTTTCACATTCTTGTACAGAGTAAGAAAATCTAATGAGATATATCCTACTATTGATTAAGCTAACTCTCAAATAATCTTTCTTACCAAGAACAAAGTCTTTGAAACTCCAATGAAATTCACTGAGTGTAGAACATTTTCATCGGTATATAGTGATCAGGGATCAGAATTGGGAGCAGTTGGAAGTGAAGGCAGGAGAACAAACAGGTGTAAGGTAGTGATGGCCTCTGATAATATTAATGGCTGTCTGCAGCCACGTGACTAGAAGGTTCCAGAGAGTGCATCTCCGTCATAGTATTTGCCACAGGTTTGGGAGTGACAGGTGTTAGTATTTTAGCCAGGTATTTATCAGTCCTGGAAGGGTAAAGGCTGATAATAGTTTTCATTAGTTCTAGCACCATTTCCTTCCAGCTGTCTTAATTTAAAATACAAGTTAGTTGTTGTTAGGTACTATCCAGTCAGTTCTGAGTCACAGTGACCGTGTGTACAACAAACAACAAAACAAGGCCTGATCCTGTACCATCCTCATCATCTTTCCTGTCTGATCCACTGTGTGAATCCATCTTCCTCAGGGTCTTTCTCCACTAGGCTGGCCCTCCACTTTACCAAGCAAGCATGATGTTCTCTAGGAACTGGTCTTTCCTGACAGCATATGTGAGATGGAGTTTTGCTATCCTTGCTTCCAAGGTGTAGTCTGACTGTCTTTCTTCCAAGACAGATTTGTTTGTTCTTCTGGCAGTCCATGGGATGTTCAATATTCTTCATCAACACCGTAATTCAAAGGTATTCAATCTTATTTCATCTTTCTTATTCACGTGCATATAAGGTGATTGAAAATACCATGGTTTGGGCGAAGTGTACCTTAGTCCTCAAAGTAACATCATTGTGTTTTAACACTTTAAAGAGGTCCTCATAGAAAATTTGCTAGATGCAGTTATATTGTTTAATTTCTTGACTGCTGCTTCCATGGGTGTTGATTGTGGCTCTAAATAAGATGAAATCCTGACAATTTCAATCTTTTCTGTATTTATCATGATATTGCTAATTGGTCCAGTTGTGAGAATTTTTGTTTCTTTTATGTTGAGGTACAATCCATACTGGAGGCTGTAGCTGTAGATCATTAAGTACTTCAAGTTCTCTTTGCTTCCAGCAAGCAGTGTTTCATCTCCATATTGTTGTTGTTGTTAAGTGCCCTTGAGTTGGTTCTGACTCAGTGACTCTACATAGGGTTTCCGATGAGTGGCTGGTGAGTTTGAATCACCAACCTTGTGGTTCAAACCAATCTTGTGACGAGTGCTTATACTACAGTGCAACACCATTTCCATATTGCAGGTTGTTAGTCCACTTTTGGCACCTCTTCTTCCAGTCCTGATGCCACGTTCTTCAGACAGTCCAACTTCTTAGATTATCTTCTCAGTATACAGATTGAATAAGTATGGTGAAAATATACAACCATGGCACACATCTTTCCTGATTTCAAACCATGCAGAATCCCTTTGTTCTGTTACAATGACTGTCTCTTGGTCTACTTACAGGTTCTACATGAGCATAACTAAGTATTCTAGAATTCTCATTCTTTGAAATTTTATCCATAATTGGTTATGATCCACAGAATCAAATGCCTTTGCATAGTCATTAAACACAAACATTTTTCTGGTAGTCTCTGCTTCAAGTCAGGGTACATCAGACATCAGCAATGGTATCTCTCTTTTCATGTCCTTTTCTGAATCCAGCTTGAATTTCTGGCAGCTCCCTGTCAATGTACTGCTGCAACCATTTTTTAATTATCTCCAGCAAAATTGCACTTGTGTAAAATGATACTGTTCAATTATTTTGCATTCTGTTGGATCACCTTTCTGTGGAATGGGCACAGATATGGTTAGTTGTTGTTGTTATGTGCTGTGGAGTCGGTTCCAACTCACAGCAACCCTGTACAGGGTTTCTGAGGCTGTAAATCTTTATGGGAGCAGAAAGCCTCATCTTTCTCCTGTGGAACAGCTGGTAGTTTCGAACTGCTGTCCTTGACGTTCACAGCCCAATTCATAAGCACTACGCTGCTAGAGTAGTAACCAGGAAACACTGCTACTGATTCCATCAAAGGGTATACGATGACCTGTGTAATGCTATTTGGTGATTTTTGTGTCCTTTGAAGAAAAGAGAAGAGGAATAGTTGATGTTTTCAGTCTTTGCCTCCTAGGGGAAAGGCAACAAAAGATTACCTTTGGTAGATGTATCAGGTTGCTATGAGTCAGAATTGAGTAGATGTCAAAGGGTCCACAGGTTAGGTTTTATTCAACCCCCACCCCCCCAGAAAGAACTTAGAACCTTGCTGTGGAGTCCAGTGACTGTCCTGCTATGCAGACTAGGCTCCGACCCCAAGAGGGCAGCTTGAGAACACAAGAGAGGACATTGGTCAGCTCATTGGTCTAGCATCTCTCCTGGAGTCAGACTTTCTCATTCAGTCATTGTCTTTTCTTTTTAAACAAAACCAGTCTAGTATTGTGTGCCTCATATGTACTTGGCACTGTTGTAGGAATTGGTGATGAGCAGTAGATGAAGAGTTGGACATGGTATTTGGATATTTCTCTTAGGCTGATCCTCTCTGGAGCTAATCTAGACTGTGCCATGCTAATAGGTAGGTATAGTTCTCCTCTACTGAGACAGGGCACCAGGTCAGACTCTGCATCATTTCCCATCAGCATGGGCACCTCAATATAAGCAGGAAACTAAGAGAAAAAGCATTATGTGGATGTGTCCTCCTTTGCTTTGAGTCAAGACCCAGGATCCTAGGTGATGGCCATTTCTTTCTTCCAACTGCCCACCTGCCCCATCGTAGGCATCATATCTTGGTGTTTCTCCTCATTGTTAAGGAGTCACAGCTATTCTTAGTAGAGTATGAGATGAAGCCACAGTCAAGCCACAGACTCCATGCAATGTAAAAAATAACCTTGCTGAACAGTGACGCAGGCCCACACATCCATGTCAGCCCACTCTGTGCCTAGGCACAAATGTTTCCAAACAGCCATCCCTGGGTAGGGTACCAGCTTCAGCAACAGGAGTCGTGCCACAATCCCATGGTTTACGGGGGCACAGGGAAGGCAGAGTTCAGTTAGTGATCCGAAAACCAGTGGTGTTTAAGGTTGAGGGTATAGCAACATTTCCAGCACAGGACACCTGAGTCAAAATGAAGGGTAGGAAAAAGAGGATCCGGTGGTTGGGGGTGGCACAAGTCTAGATAAAATGAGAAGTGGTTGGAGGAGAACCCAATTTGGGATAAAAAATAAAATCTTTATTGTAAAAACCAGTACTGAGGTGTAAACACATTGCCATGTTGACCCTAACAATGAAATGGGCCTACGTGACTGAATGAGGGTGTGAGGTGTGAACCCATAGTAGTTATCGCTATGGAACGCCTGTCCGTGATCTCTCACAGATAGGGAGAACCTGTGGCCAACAGAACCATTAACAACTGTCGGCTCCCTTCATTTATTATAAGAAATGTGAGTCACTCCAATAAAACCCAGCTATTGGCAGAAGGGAAGTCTAATGTCTGACTTGTGAAGCAAAAAAAGCCAGCTGCTTCAGCCTTAGGGATTCAATTAGAACTCCAGTTCCCAGTTATCCCCAGGCTCTGGAAGCAGTGGATAAACTCAGCCACCCTCTTTTCTACAGACATAACCCAGCCAAAAGCAGGACTGCTGCAGATTTTATCAGCTTCTTAAAGGCCTTAGGAGTGGAAATTAGATACCTCAGTGTGGTTTAGGAGCAAGAGAAGGGTCAGGTGAACCCAGGTTGGGAGAACAAATGAGTTGGAATCACATGAGTGAAGACCTGAGGTCCAACTCGCAATAAAAAGATTTTCTAGCCTCTCCCAAAGACCTGAAAGCCTACATCCATGGGCCCCACACCCCAGTGCCTGCTGGGTCACAGCGGGGGTCCTGTGCTGGGTAATGCACAGGCACTGAGTGTTGGTGGTAGAACTGCAGCCTGGAAAGGAGATGCTTGATGACTTGGGGGTATTCTTGTGACAGGTCATGCCTTTCTTCAGGGTCTTGATCAATATCAAAGAGCCAGAGTGTTTTGGTCGGTGGGTCCAATGATGGTATCTCAGAAACATTGGCTTGAGATGGTGGTGGGAACCAGTAATCACAGCCTGGCAAGGAAATGAAACAGTTTATTTGGGGAGAGGCATTGTAAGCAGGCTCTAAGTTCAGAGAGGGAGAGGGTGTGTGTGTGTGTGGGAGGGGTGCTGTGGGTTCATTAAAAAGGTATGGTCCTTTGATGACCATTTCTTGGGTCCCATGTGTGTGCTGGGGTGGTACTGGTTAAAAGTCACAATCATTGTGGAGGGAAGTGTGACTGGCATTTAGTGGTCAGGTGTGTAGATGCTAACAGGTCCTGGATGTACGGGGTGGTCCAAACAATGGAGAATTGCCTTGCTTCACATACCGAGAGCGTCTCCATTAAAAGCTCTGCTTAATTGAAATGCAGCCTTAATTGTCACTCCATATATTTAAAAAGCCTTGAAAGGCTTTTAAGACAATGTGCTCAGGAGAAGCAACCTCCTCCCCCAGTTGCATGGCTGATTGAGGGTGTAGCTCTTCTCTTAGAGGCTCTCTGTGCGAGATAGATGTTCTGGGTCTTGCTAGATACACATATCTGATCTCCTCGTTTCCCACAAAGCATTAGAGTAGAATTCTTTCTTTTCATGTCCTACAGTTAATTTCCATTTTGTGTGTGTGTGTATGTGGGGGTGGGGAGGATGGGGTAAGGACCAGAACACTGAGCCCAGTCTCCTCATTCAGCAACCCCAAATGACGTATTGCATTGGGCAAATCTGCTGCAAAAGACTTCTTTAAAGTGTTGAAGTGCAAAGATGTCAGTATGAGGAATAAGGTGTGCCTGACCCAAGCCATGGTGTTTTCAATAGTCTCATATGTATGTGAAAGCTGGACAATGAATAAGGGAGACTGTAAAGATTTGAGTTATGGTGTTGGAGGAGAATGTTAAAAGTACCACGGACTTCCAGAAAAACAAACAAATCTGTTGGAAGAAGTACAGCCAGAATATTCCTTAGAAGCATTAGCTCCTCAGACTGTCTCTCATACTTAGGACATAGTCTCTCATACTTAGGGACAAGTCCCTGGAGAAGGACATCATGTTTGGTAAAGTGGAGGGTCAGCGAAAAAGAGGAAGACCCCCCAACAAGATGGATTGGCAGCAATAGGCCCAAGAGTAACAATGATTCTGAGATCGGTGCAGGACTGGGCGGTGTTTCATTGTATTGTGTATAAGGTTGCTATAAGTCTGTAACAGCTCGATGACACCTAACAACAATGACAACATTTCTGTTAGCTTCTCCTGGTGTTCTGGAGGGAAAACCGGCAGTAAACTTGCATCACCCATTCCAACACCGAAAGCTGTGTGATGGGGAACAGGAAAATCTTCAAAGTAGGAACAAAGTGTTGTCTTCTTGTGACACACACACATAAGCATGAAAGACTTTTAAGACAGTATTTCAAGTGTCTGAGAGGAGTGAGGAGAGAGACAGGACTTGGTACTGTTGACAAGTCAGGTAAGAAGAGATGGGGACAGAGATAACCGGAGATGGGAGGTGGTTAGAGAAAGGGTGACAATGCCCTCACTTTCCTGACTTGGACTTGAGGTACTGCTCAGAAGACATGGCCAGCCTGCTTGCTACAGGGGCGAAATTTGCTAAGCTAAGCATTTTACCTGGGTAGCCCGTGAGGAGTTTCCAATTTCTGTGTCTAATTGCAGCATGGACAGACGTGTTGAAGGCTGAGTGTTCTGGAAAGGAAGCGTCATCTTTTGTTGGAACCTGGCTGTGCCTAGGACCTGAAAAGAAATAGTGTGGAAGAATTAGATCGCTGTTACTGCAACAGTGTTGTTATAAATCAACATTTGATGTCTTTCTTGCAGAACAGTAGCTCTGATTCAACACTGGAGTGCAAATGTGTATCCTACTCCAGAACTGAATCTTTTATTAAATGTAAACAGAAAGCTATAGTTACAGTAAATGTCAGTCATAAACCACCATAAATATAAAGGAAATCCCAAAGAGATTACAACACTAATTCAGCCTTAAAATCACTGTGCTCTGCCAGCATGCAGCTGGTCATATGCAGAACAGGGTTCTGTTACAGCAGGGCAGGTTTCTGGTTTTGTTTTGCTGTTAAAGTTTGGATCAAATAAATACATTTTCTGCGTGTACTTATACTGTGTAGCTCATATGATAAAGTTTACATTTTAATGGAGTCTATCTCAAAATAAGAGCATTCAACATGCCATGAAAAATAGGATGTATATTTTTTTAACTACTTTTATGAAATCTAAAAGTAAGTGAGCAAAGCGCAGTTAACTGCTCAGACAGGGCAACTATGTATATAATAATAAATTTGGTGTCCAAATGATTGGTTGGTATATCGTTGCTAAGCTGGTTCTGATTCACAGTGGTCCTGCATAGGTTTCCAAAGAGGGTTGGTATATAGATTGCATTAATTGATCATCTTAAGGTCTTATGTTGATTGATCATATCTTTTTTGAGAGAAGCAATAGACAACACTCATTCTTCTTCCTCTCCTGCACTTGGAGACAGTGGAGAGATAGAAGCCAGGCACATGGAGCAAAAAATATTACTTTTATTATTGATATTGTTGATTAGAAAGAATATGGATTCAAATCTGCAATAGAGAGGCCTCACTGATAAGTGTCCCCTCACTTAGAAAGTGGGGTCCCTGGATGAAGCAAATGGTTTGTGCTTGGGTCCATGTTCATGGAAACAGTAGTCAATAATCATACAACCTATTTCACTGGGAAAATCTGTAAAGGGGCTCTTTAAGTGTTCAAGAGCAAAGATGTCACTTGGAGGACTAAAGTGTACCTGGCCAAAGTAATGGTATTTTCAATGGCCTCATATACATGTGAAAGTTACACAATAAATAAGGCAGACCATAGAAGAACTGATACATTCAGAATTATGGTATTGGTGAAGCATATTGAAAGTACCATGGACTGGCAGAAGAACAAACAAATGTCTTGGAAGAAGTACAGCCAGAATGCTCCTTAGAAGCGAGGAAGATGAGATTTCATCTTTGAACATGTTGTTAGGAATGACCAGTCTCTGGAAAAGGACATCATGCTGACTAAAGCAGAGTCAGTGAAAAAGAGGAAGACCCTCAACAAGATGGACGGACACAGTGGCAACAATGGTGGGCTCAAACCTAACAATTGTGAGGATGGCGCAGGACCGGGCAGTGTTTTGTTCGGTTGTACATGGGGTCACTGTGCATTGGAACAGACTCAACAGCCCCTAACAACAATGCTAACCAAAAGATGGGAGGTTGGAGTCCCCCCAATAGCAAACAACTTTAATAAAATTACAGCTCTACTCAAAATCTCAGGAGCTCTGGGAGTATAGTGGATTAAAAGTTGGCCTGCTAACTGAATCTATGTCACTTTGTGGGAGAAAGATGAGGCTTTCTGCTCCCAAGAAGATTTACAGCCTTGGAAATAATGTGGGTTGCTATGAGTTGGCACACAACCATTACCACCACCACTCTAAAGGTGATGGTACTGCCATGAGTCAGAATCCATTTGACAGCAACACTTTTTCTTTTAAAGGAAACAATCACCATTCCAGCTGAACAACCTCTGGCCTCCCTCAGGGCACACAGCTGAGAGTAGAGCAGAGCTTCTTCACATCCTGTGGACAAGCTGGCTCCACAATGAAACCAAAGGGTTTCTTAAGAGTGGTGAGGAAAGAATTTAAAGACAGCATGCTTAGTTCTTTAGACAACTTGCTCCTTCTTCTATTGATGGGAAGGGATGAATGAGTGCAGCCAAGAGCAAGCACTGCTCCAATTGAAGACTCAGTGGAAACTTGAGAGCAAGGACCGAAGGTTTCCCTACTTCCTTTCCTACCTTTAAAAGTCTCAACTTAAGGCCTAATTGTATAATTGTTTTTGTTATTGTTGTTAGGTGCCATCGAGTCGGTACTGACCCATAGCAACCTTATGCACAGCAGAACAAAACACTGCCCGATCCTGGGCCAACCTCACTACTGTTGCCACGCTTGAGTCCATCGATGTTGCATTTGGCCAAGCCATCTTGTTGGGGGTCTTCCTCTTTTTCTCTGACCCTCCACCTTACCAAACATAATATCCTTCTCCAGTGACTGGTCCCTCCTGACAAAATGTCCGAAGTATGAGAGATGAAGTTTGGCCATCCAGGCCTCCAAGAAGCGCACTCAGGCTGCACTTCTTCCAATACAGACCTGTTGGTTCTTTCGGCAGCCCATGGTACTGTCAATAGTCTCCTACAACACCATAACCTAAATGCATCAATTAGTTGTATAACAGTCTGCTGTAAGTCCAAGTATCTGTTAGCTTTTCAGATAGGGTTATAGCGAGTGTCTTGGGAGCACATCAAAATATTGATAAACTATCAACTCACAAGGGAGGAAGTGGGATTATGGTTGTTACATGGAGGGGACTGCACTCATTGAGATGAAACAAAGTTATGATACATTGAGTGTAAAACTGAGGATCTACTCTGTACACCTTCACTCAATTCACAATAAAAAGTTTCAAACAAAATTAAAAACCATAATTGTTGTTAAGTTCCAACTCATAGTGACCCTGTACAGTGTCCGAGGCTTTAAATCTTTGTGGGAGCAGAAAGCTTCATTCATCTTTCTCCCAAATAACCATAACATGTATAAAAATACAAACTCTTTTGAAGCGGTCAACCCCTCTACCCACTTTTTCTTTTATAAAAGATTTTTGAGAGCGCTCCTCTACCTGCCAGGGCAGGGCTTCTATGCTCCTCAGGGTTTAAATGCTGAAGGTGGAATCACTGATAGTGGTGGAAAAGGAGGGAAGTCCTTTTGTTTGTCAGCCTTTTGGAAAAATCATGGTAGAGATGTGCTGGAGAGTAATCAGATAAATACTAGTGGTTTTAGACTTTCAGTATTAACAACTATGCTGCAACAAATCTTTGCAAAGAGAGAGGAAAAATCTTTTTGGCTTCTTGTTTCTTTGTTTGGTTGTATGCATTTTGGCTCCAATGCAAACATATGCTTCTAGTGCTTCTTAGGGCTTAAGGTGCCGAAAGATGGTTATCATAGGATGTGCTTTCTGAACATGCACGCTGCGGTGAAACAGTGAAACCTCACGATGTACTCCTCGTAAGTGTGTATAACGGCCACGGTTGGATAAATAAAACAAGTATGTTTGTGAACATAAACAAAAAAGGAAACCTAACGATCACAGCTATACTTATATTTATATATACACTTTTCCTAAAACAAACAGGAACATCAGACACCTAAACAATAAGTAAGTCTAAAGCTTAATGAATAATAATCAATATCTCAACTTTGCTTACTTGTTTCCATTGTTGTTGTTAAGTGCCATCGAGTCGGTTCCGACCCATAGCGACCCTGTACAGGGTTTCCGAGGGTGTAAATCTTTACGGGAGTAGAAAGC